CTCAGAAAATTTGGGAGCAATGTCTTTCAGGTAATATTCATGAATAATTATAGATTATTGAAAGATGCATGAATATAAACTGAAGAATGCAATCTACCTGAAGTCAACACTCTTCGAAAATATCAATCTTGCACAAAATGATTGATTGATAAATGTTGTGCTATGAATTGCTTCATATTCTGCCACTCTCAATAATTCAGTCATGGTTCACTAACATTCTACAGTCTTATCTACTTTTGACCTATTATCAATCTGTAAATGATTATAAATTGGATATTGTTCTCAATAGATTCTTTTCTTTTATCAGTCTACTTTAGCATAGAAATTTAACCAGCTAATTATAGAGTGTGAATCGATAGACTCTTGTGAAATTTTTTCAAGATGCCTGAACAAGAGATAATAGTTAACAGGCATCAGACTTACTATTCATTATATCAATTTCGAATACTATTCAAACTTCCTTTTAGTTATTTGTATGTTGATCATGTCAATATTACAAATGCTTCAACAACATCTTTTCTGATCCAACGACAATGAAATTAGTCGAAATTAATAATTTGTTCAAACCACCAGTTCATTATTTTTTCCAGTAATAAGAAACCAGTTTCTCAATCTTAATTATATACTTTATCCTAATTTTTCTTTTTTTGTATCGAACATTGATTGCTTTTGATTAAAGACTACCAACATCACAATGTCCTTTTCACTATCTTTACTATGTTTAGACTTTCCCTTATGATAGAAAAATGACTTTTGATCTTGCTTATTTTACACGGCTAAAGTCTTACATAACGCTTTTTTGTTTCATGAGATGAATTTCCCTTGCAATGAAGCTATGTTGATTTTGCATTTCTGAAACCTGTTCATTTACAGTGCGTAAAATTCGAAGTGAAATATATTGGACTTCAATTTGATGTATCGTATCATAGTAATTGTTCAAAGTTTGTCGTATTCAGTCTTTCACTCTTGTCTTCATTTTTTTTCATCATGTTACCCAATGAACCGTGTACTTGATGAATCTTTTCGGAAAAGACTATTTTCGGTACACCGACAGTTGAACTCCAGACAGAAGAGCCCCCAACATTTAAACTTTTCTTATGTAGTCCTGAGTAAAATAAATAATAAGCTATATATTCATTGTTCACTAAGATTCGATAACATGTTAATTATATAACAATATATACTACTAATTAATCACTCTCTTCGACCAACATGTCAGAGATTCTTTTTAATGAATAAAAAGAATTCTAAGTATTCGATTAGTTATTCATTGACGGAATAATACATGTATTGGACCAAAGAGAATATTGAAAATCATTCTTTATATATCTCTTATTATAAATGTCAATTATACAATTATCGAAAGATAAATATCAACTTTTTGTTGATGATTTTCAATGTCGACGAGCAAATAATAGGTAACTAACGTGGCGATGGATATGAGTGCTAGCGTATGAGTACCGATGAAGAGAAAACTAACACTCACAGCCATAATCACAAACTCAATACACTGTATCAGCTGATATTCCAATCAAGTTTGTTCGTCGTTTATGATAAATTTCCAAGTAAACAATTGACCAATAGCTCAAAAATAATCATTCCCTAGTATTCATCGAAATTGATTTGTTTATTGAAAAATAAAAATTGGCTAATGTTGGCATTTTTGTATTTTGGATGAGTAAAAATCCAATAAAACTAAATGAATTGTAAAGTAAAAGTAAAGTTCTTGAAAGTAATCCAAATCAAAATACAACTATTCAATACTGTCATCAAAATAAACAATACTAATGGATTCAATCTAAAGATCATTGCTAAAAGTAGTTATACAATTGTTATAGAATAAAACTTAGTATAGAAGTTGATTCAATATAGCCTATCATAATCATGTATATATGCACAGTGAACAAGAAGATGAAAATAACAATTTTTATTGATTTTTATTGGTGTTGGGTTTTTAGCCAAATATTAAAATCTTTAGTTATAACATATTTCTACTGAAATACAACATGTGATGCGAAAGTTTTTGCACAAAAGTCAAACTATGTAACACCATAATTATCAACTTCTAAAACAATCAATTTCTTTTGGAAAGAGAAATTTCTAAACTACAAGATTTGTTACTAGACCTATTTTTCTCGGATGAATCGACAAAGCAAGAGAAGTCAAAAAGTAAGCACCTCTAAAAATATCTCTTGCAATGTTTGTGCAGCTTGAAAAGTTCCTATTTCTCAACTATCTTGAGCTACATGGATCAAATTCTAACAAAAAAATATACATCAATATTTTGCACATCGAAAGTTATATCGATATCAGTTTTAATAAGTTTTTTTTACGATCCGCTCTTGACACTTGAATTTAAAAAAATGCCAAATTGAAATTTTGGTAAAATAGAGTCGTTTTTAAGAACTATCAATTTGGTATGAGATCAACCACAATCGCTAGAAACTATGCGTGAACTGAATTCTTTGTTTATTATTTGTTCGAAATACGTCAAATCCGAGAAACTTTGGACGAAAAAAGAACTTAAAAAGTCTTTTTTACTGTTGCAAAACGATAAGGTAGTAAGAAAGACAAAGTTACACAGTGTCATCCAGAAACGGCTATATTTTTCTACCAAAACCAACACTGTATTTAACTGCCAATACACCATTGGAAAGAACATACTGTATGCTATAAAAGCTATCAATAAAACGTGTGATTTCACTTTGCTTCTGATCTAACAAAAGAAAAAAAAGAACAGAAACTGAAAAATGATATTGTATGAAGGTGAAGTTACAAGAACTCTTTTCGAGGTGTTTTGTTTTTAACTTCTCTTCCTTTGTAGATTCATTCTAAAAACACAAATGTGCTGCAAAACTTATTATTCAGACTTTGCACTTTCCAACAAAACAAAAAATTGATTCGTTTAGAACTTAGTAATATGGCCTAACGGAGTTTGGCAATTGTACAAAGACTTTTTCATCGCATATTTTATACTTTGATACTTTCTTTCTAAAATATTTTTCTGCTCGTATCAGATTAAAAAGTGATTTTGTGTATATTTGTCATATATTTAATTTTATGTATTTGTGTTATGGTTTTTTTTATTAGATAATAGAGCGGATACTTGCGTATTTTTATAGATTATTTAATAAACTTCAATCTGTACATTTTGCTTCACAAATCTATGCAGTACGGTGACCATTATTATTCGTTTGTATAATACATCAATCATTAGACAAATACATTATTGCAAAAGACAATCCGATATGTTTTATTCATTTTAATAAAAAATCCACTATAAAGAGTCAAAATATTAGTAACATATACTTGAATCAAGTCAGAATATCTTTTTTGCAACATCTAACAAGATATTTCAATATAATAATTGAAACAGACTATTTTTAAACATCATTATTCAGGTCAATGAGTACATAATAACCATGTTATTTGACATTGTTTTAACACGTTTTTTGTAGTTTATTAAAATCTAATCATTTTCTTATGTTTATAATATGCCCATTGATATTTATTGACGATTCATATTGTTCCTCTCATAAAAACTCAAAGAGAATATACACATCAATTACATAATTTTTAGAATTTGTATCTGGAATTTCCAAACATAAATGTTGCATACATAAGAGTGAAAGAATATGTTAACTAATAAGAAAGAATTAATACTTGAAATGTTTCCGAAGCAAATTATCAAATGAACAATAGTTAATTGAACATGTATCAATTGTTACAGTGAAAATCGTCAATGCATTCTTATCATTATTTGGCTGGTGTGTTGGGAGCGGAAGTGGATCGAAGGATGACTTTTAATCTTGAAAAATTTTCATTTTGCTCCAATGGAGTTCTAGCATTTTATTATTACTTTTGTTCAGTAATTCTCAAAAAATGCGTAAACCCTTTCCCTCACGAAATTCAGTCAACTTTATCAAAATGAAACTTGAATTTCAAAACTCAGATTCAATTTATGGTCTATTGAACTAATTTTTCTATGCATAGAAATACGAGCACTTATATGGTATCTTATTTTCAACAAAATAATTACTTATAGATACTAGCACAATCTTTTCTTATTTCATTGGTCGAATTTATTTACCAGTCACGTAAAAGAACAGAACAACACATCAAGCACATATCCAAATGACGACTTTAGTTAATAATCTTTTGTTGTCCACATGTATATATTAAATTCAACGCAGAGAAAAGCAGATCTTTTTATTTAAGTTAAATAATCAATGAGTTCAATGATACCATTTCTTACTCAAAATTGAATTTATTATATTTGCCTTTTTCACTCTTGTATGGTTATAAAACAAATATAATCAAAAAAAAATGTTGTATTATTTTTTTTTTTTAGGCAATATTGTTTTTTGTTTCTCTTTATGGATGAAACTAATATAGCATCGATTGTCTTGGGTGTCGTAGCCGGTTTTTATAGTACTATATTTTTACTTTGTTTATCAGATGTTGTTCATCTAAATAAAGAAATGACCAAAATGAAGCATGAATTAGCGGATTTAAGAAATCAAAGTATTATATTTAATCGTTCATCTTTCGTTGATTCATCAAATAAAATAATATTAACAAGAAAAAATATATCTGGAAAATTATGTTTATCATATGATGAACAACGTCAAATACTTGAATATATTAATTTTATATGTAATATGGCAATACTTTTATTTGGAAGTTATTCAATATACGTTCATGGCATCGGAACACATCATGGCCTTGCTTATCGTTTATTTTTTTTCATATGCAAACTATGTACTATAATTGCATCGCTTTGGCTCAATCTTCATTTTAAAAAAGGCTTACCAAGCGATATATTTTTGTACCTATGGATTGATATTAACTGTGTTGTGTCAATATATCGTAGTTTACGTCAATTAATCTGAAATAAAAAAAAAATTCAGAAAGAAAAAACGGAGATTTTGTTTTTTTTCTTAATGAAATCGTTGTTTTTTTAGATAATAATATCATCGAAATTATGTAATCAATAACGAATGATGTATCATGCAGCATCAAATAACTGTACCAGTGGCTTAGCTGATAATTATATATATATTAATCAAGATAAAATTCCACGCTCATTAATATGTCCGATATGTTTAGAACCTTTGATAGATCCACAAACACATATTTTATGTGAAAATTCATTTTGTAATCGTTGTATAAGAAACTTAAGACATTGTTCATGTTGTCGTACAACGATTGTAGAGTTAAATGATCTTATAATGGCAAGTGATGTTATAAGAAATGCACTTGATGAGCTTCAAGTAAGAATACATGGAAATAAGTAAACATTACAAAATAATTTCTATCTCTTATTTTATCAAGAATAACATATTCAAATTTCCGAAAATAGAATTAACATTTTTTATGCAAATGAAATTATTCTATCTTTCTTTAAACAAATATATTTTCTTTATTCAAGTTCAATGAAATGTGATTTAATTTAAAAAGAAAAAAAATCGCAAAAAAAAAAAGGTCGAAGTATTGTGAAATATTTGATCTATTTCATAAATTTGTTCATAAAATTCTCGAATCGAAATTCATGTCATTAAATTACTGTGTCAGAGATGATATATAAAAAATTTTGATAGAAAATTCACAAACGTTTATCTTGAGTCTTTCTCTTTTTTTGAGTGCAGAAGATAAGCTGAACAAGAGAATCACACTGGTGCATAAAGATTTTTATGAAAGTGTAATTCATTTTGTTTATTACATTTACATGAACTATCTTCTAAGTTTTAGTTCTTAGAAGTTGATTTTATCTAATTAAAAATAAATGATCAATAATAATGAATAACAAATATATTCTTATAAAACACTAGAATTTTATACTAAACTATTCTCATCAAGGCCTATCTCGGTATAATGTTTTAAGTCAAAATTTTAAAATTAGTTCTTCAGATATTCCTAAAAAGGAACTGTAATAAATTTTAAAATTAATTAGTATCGTTAGAAATTTTCAACAGTGCAGTATGAATATACTTTTAATGAGTATAACAGAATCAATGATCTTAATTTTGACTCATTTGAAAAACTTATCATATTAAATAGACAACCAATATGAGAACAATACATAGCTGTAAAATCAAGAGCTAATTATCTCTCTATTGAAGAATCTTTTTTTTTTTCGTATTTAGATTCAATGTAATATATGTAAAAATATCTTACGTCGTGGTAATTTTGATAATCATATTGAAAATTGTTGTCTTCAACTATCATCAATAACATCTGAAGAAGAGAATAATTCAAATACGAATGAAAAATATATAGAAAAACATTTATCAAATTTATATCGTCGTGTACATAAATCAGAAAGTGATTTTTATGAATTAAAAAAAGTCATATTGATATTTTTGCTTGTTTTAATAATAATGGGAATAATACTTCTTTTAAATACTATTTTGTTATATATAATTCATTTAATTATATCAGTTATTTTTTCAAAAAGATTATCATTATTTATTCAAGCAATATCAAAATTTTTATTTGATTTTCTTCAGTAATGATATTATTATGTTTAATATTTGTTATTTGATATTTTTTTATTATAAAAGTTCTCCATTGAATATAAATATTTTTACAGTAAAAATTAATTTCATTATTGTTATTTTTAATAATTTTATACTTATTTTATATTTCTTAATTACTCATTTTTTCAGTCAGTAGGTAGAATAATTTTTTATTTTTTTCATACATAAAATAAAAAGAAACAAAGTATTCTTATTCGTCACTTTATTTTAGATTATGCAACCAATACGTCAAGCATTAACGACTGCAATTGTATGTTAAATATTTATTTTCAGATGATGAATTTATGTAGATATATTCTAGCAACAACTCCTGATGCTCATACGTCCTTCGTTGATCGTACAGCAAGTTTGTTACGATGGCAGTGATCCACGTTGATCAGATTATGGAAAAAGTAGAATAATAAAAAATCAATATTTTTTTTTTTTGTAGAAAAATTTCTAGAAATTATTGAGCTTTTCATATTTCGAGGTTTATCGTAGAGACAAGAGCTTGTTTAACCTGTCAGTTTTTGTATAGATTGATGTTTTCTCTTCATTTTATTGAGTGATAAATATGACTAGTCTTCTGCTTAGTCTCTATCGAATATGTATAAGTCCTTTACCTGCACTAATAAATCGCCGTTTGAGCTCATAAGGAAGTATTGGTAAGACTGGAAAAGCCTTAAAATGGTTCATGCCTATGAACCTCTAAAACTGAGTTATGATTATTTTCTTGAATTTTTAGATATTTACGGGAAAATTAAGTAACAAAATTTCGACCTGCAATTCAGTCCATAAACAAGTCTAATGACTCTTGGAATATTCTGAAAGTTGTAGCGGAAACAAATGTTCCTTTTTCAACATGTCTGTGGCAAGCGACTATTTTTTAGAACTTCAGTGTGTCGACAAAGGAACACTCTTTTTGGCTGAAGCTTTCAGGATATTCCAACGATCATTATATCTATGTATGGGTTGAATTTCAGATCGAAATTCTCTTTCTTAATGTTTCAGTAAATACTATATAACAATGGATCGAAAACCCAATAAAACAGTCATAATTCAGCTCTGAAGACCCACAGATACAGATCTTCTTAGAAATTTTCTAGTCTTGTCAAGACCTCCTTTTAGATCTATTACGAGTTCAAACGTTGAGTTAAAGTTATGGTAGTTTCCTCGTTGAAAAAAAAAACAGGCGAAAAGTTTCTCGTATGAAGAGAATAGTAATGCGTTGTTTGTAGAAAGATATTTTGATTTTACGAAGAATTTTTCTTCCACGTTGATAGGAATTTCAACTAAACTTATCTCTTTATTTGTTAATACTGAATTATCTATAAATGAATATCCCCTTAACCATCCACCAAAGCGAGTGAATGAACAAGATTATCATCAGTTGAATCATTGTTTTCTTAAGTTTTATGTGATAAATTTTACATAAATTAATGTAGTCTATACAAATAAAAACAAAGATTATGTTATTAATGGTCAAACTTGAATCATTACTTTAGAATCTTTGTAATATAATTGATTTATTATGATACAGGTTTTGCGAAGTGTTGCAATTCTATTCTTGATATCAACGATCTATAACTTTTTTTCAGCAAACTTCACTTCAAGATTTTTCCTCTTTAATCATATAGGATTTAAACTTGATTATTAGAATAACACTTTCTTTGTTAAATATTTGTTAGTTTTGATTTGTTTACTGAAACTTGAAAAGATATATGGTAATGATCCACCTTATGAAAAAATCGGTGGCTTCACAGATGTACATAATCCTAATCGTGGAAAAAACCCAAATTTTCTCTTTCGTTTTTGTTATATTCCTACGTACTTTCATATACTTATATGAGCAGATGTTTTTTTTTTCAAAAGTCTAATGTTTGATTCATTGTCCTCAAGATTTAAGATGATTTATTTTTAAATGTTTATAGTAAACGAGCAATTATAAATTAAAAAAGAACTTTTTAGTTATTTTATATCCTTCAATTTCAATAATGCATATCTTGTCTTCAATATGATTCTGTGTGAGAAAAAATATACATACAATTATATACAAATGTCTGATTGTTATATATATTTAGTAGATTCTATTCTAATAATGAAATGAAAAGTCAACATATACCAAATATCAACACATTCTTCTTAAATAAAAAGTAAATTTTAATTTTTTTTAAACATTACAGCAGCGAACTTTTACGGTAGTATATGGGTATGTTTCTCAATTAGGAAAAATAAAAGTTTTGAAATCTAAATAAAATTTGATAGTTACACGTTGATTTAAGTTATCAATGATTTTTAATATGGATAATCGCTAAGACATTGCTATTACTAATTCTTGTTCAAAGCAAATTGAATATTACCTTTAAAATATCCTACTATTTTCTAAAGATCTGTATTGAATTCTCTCATATTAGATTTTCTACTCTTTTGATATCTATACTTTAAATTGTGCTCTCAAGATAGAATACAATATCATCAACAGAAATAAACTAAATAGAAGATAATAAACGAAGGTGAATTATATACAAACTTTTAATCAACTCAGAAAAAAAAGTACATATATTTGTCTATAGTCCAGGAACACATATGATAATATTAATTTCCACAAATACAAAAAAAAAAATTGTTTTCGAATTATGCGAAATTCACAGAGTTCGAGAAAATCACGTGCGATTTACTGTTTGAACTTTTGAATTAGAATTATATATGTCAATCTTGGGAATTTATTTAGTGAGATTGTGTATCCTAGTGTTTTGATACACCCTCATTGAAGAATGCTTTGAATTTCTAATTTCTGAATGGTGAATGCCACTGATGAAGTACACTGTATTATATGTGCGAAGATATGATAACATAAAAATTTAAAGATTGTTTACAAGAGTTTCGATAAAACTATTTAATAGGTCATTGTCAAGAATTCAGTAAACAACTAGATGAAGTTGATGTCATGTGAAATATCTGTCGACAAACATTCACTCAACAAACAGCTAAACTATAAAAATCATTTGTTATTATAATAATTCGATAAATGTGAACGTGAATCGGTTAATAAGTTTCAACGTACAGTCGATGAAACTAAACAACAATAACTTAAAACATACCAAGAAGAAAACTTTTGAAATAGAAGGTACATTAATCGAATCGACCAATCAACTACAATAAAGTACTAAAGAAGAAGACTTTTTTTTATAAATAATTTGTGCCATTGACAAAAAGAACTCAATCTAATAATCGAGTCATGTGTTGATTAAAAAAAAGTGGCACAAGATAATATAGTTGTTAACGAAAATCGAAAGGAATAACAATTGAACTGCATGGATATCAATTAGAAGGATATTATTAGATAGTCTTATTTTTATTTATGTGATTACATACACATTTTATAACATTTTGAAATGATAATCAAAACATTGATTATAATTCTAGACTAAATACGAAAGAATTCGATTTCGTATGTTAATAAAATGTCAATTGAATTTGAAGTTTTCGAAGCAGAAATCTATTTAATAGAATTTTTGGCATTGTATGCATTTAACAGGGATGGGCGAGTCAAGCCATTTTTCGAGTCGAGTCGAGTCCGAGTCATTTCGAAATGGTTTCGAGTCGAGTCAAGTCGAGTTACCGAGACTTCCGAGTCGAGTCGAGTCGAGTCAAGTTAATTTTGTTATTTTTTTTTCTTTTC